TGCAGTGGTGTATATCCAACACGTGAAACTGGGTTTTCCTAATAACAGATAGTTTTCCTTACATGATGACAATTTTTAGCGTATTTAAAAAATAAACAAAAGAAAAAAACTAGCGGCCTGTCGGTTGAGATAGCTCCGCTGTTATCAGTGCACATTGCAATTAAAGAACAGAAGATATGATTCGAAAATGAACAATATGTATAGTAGTAAAGCAATCAGACTTTTTATAACTTTTTATCAAAAATACTCATTAAAATAGGATAATTGAAGAACAAAATCATCACGAAAAGAACAAATCTGAGAGAGGTCTACATATATGCTTATGTAGTATATATAATATCAAAGGAATTAGACTTGCGGTTTTAACAAGGAGTCGTAAATATCACTTTTTACCAAAAAATGACAAAAATATTCATGAAAATTAGAGAATTAAAGATATCATCACGAAATGAACAAATCTGAAAGAGGACCATATGTACTACATAGAAATGTATATCAAAGCAATTGGACCAGCGGTTTTTTCAAGAAGTCAAAAATATCACTTTTTACCAAAAATGACAAAAATATTCATGAAAATTAGAGAATTAAAGATATCATCACAACATGAACAAATCTGATTATCATACCAAGTATCACAGGATTCGGGCTAGGGGTTTTCAAGAAGAAGTCGAAAATAGCATTTTTGACCAAAAATGACAAAAAATATTCGCTATAAATAAGACAATTGAACATATCCACACCCAAGGTACCTTCCTAGAAAGTTTCACAGCGATACAGTTTGTGGTTATTAAAAAGAAGTCGAAAATGTAAAGTTAGCGATGACGGCGACGGCGACGACGGAGACGCCGGACGCCGGACGCCGGACGCCGTAGGACAATCAGTAATACCATAAGCTCCGCTCGACTTCGTCGACAGCGGAGCTAAAAACACCTTTTCGCCCTGTTATTCAAAATAGTAGCTCACTCAATTCCTAGTACTGGTCCTCTTTGCTTCGTGACAACTCTGAATGGCACTGGTCGTAAAGTCAATCCATACACACTTGTCAACTGCGGATTGTCACCTTCACACTTTTCAAATTGGCACTGATGCATGAAAATCGCGAAAAACAGGAACAATTCCAATTGTGCCAGCTGCTGACCTGGGCATCGCTTTTTCCCTAAACCAAAAGCAACAATCTTAGCGACCTGTGATTTCTTCACTGACAAGCCGTCGTCAGAAAGAAATCGATCAGGGTTGAATCGATGTGGGTCTTTCCACTCGCTTTCGTCGTAGTTTACAGACCACAGGTTCACGAATATAGGCGTCTCTTTCGGGATTGTGTACCCAAGAATATCCGTGTCGTTCAAGGTCGAATATGGTATCGACAACGGGAAAAGCGACGCATGACGGATAACTTCCTGTACGACGGCATCTGTATATGGCAATTTTGCTCGATCAGAAAGTGTCGGTAGTCGATCTCTGGTTACTACTCTGTCAATTTCTTCGTGTACTTTGCACTGAATTTCCGGATGTATGATCATGTAGAGCACCAAGTAGTATATTGTATTAGTGGTGTTTTCATAGCCAGCCCCAAATAAACAACACAGCATCCGCTTAATATCAGTTTTGTTTTTAGCGGGCAGCCTTTAGTCTTTCCCGCATCGTTGCGTATTCTAATCATGCTATCCACCACACTTCTTGCTTTATAATTGCTACTTACATGCGAGTTCATCTGCTCATCTATGAACCTGTTAAACTCGTCGAAGTCATTTCCAAGTTTCGCAAACACCTTTCTCATTGCAAATGTCATCCATGGTAGATAGTCGATGATGTTTCCCTTTCCCGTGATCGCGGTATCAAACTGCTTACTAAGGTACAGGACCTTTTTGAAATTATTGTCATTGTGACTGTAGCGTTTTCCGAATAGGACGAAGCAGGTTACGTTGCCCACAGCAACGTAAATATCATCATAGGCATCAAATTTTGCGATTCCATGATTGGTCAAGCTGTTCACAACATTC